GAAATATTTTAAATACACTTTCGTTATATTTTTATCTTATTTTATTTTTCCAGCTGCCTTTCCTTGATTAGATCTGTATTGAAACGAAGTTTATCGATATATTACAAGGTTGGCAGTAATTTTCGCTCTGCGCCCCCTCCCCTTCTCCCCTTCTCGCTTTGCAGTGCGTCAGCGATTTTTATTCGTGTGTTGACGAAAGATTTAAAACTGTTCCATGTTCCTCCGCTTTAACGTTTTGCCATTATTAGGGATGATAGATGTTTCTCATTTTGAATTGAAAATCGCAGGAGGTCGTCTCTCTTTGAGTCGAGTCCGAAGTTGTTTTGTTACATTTGATTACTCGCCTGGGTGTGATCCAGCGGTCGTTACGAAAGGCAACAGGTTTGTGTTCCCCACATTTTTGAGCATATTCTCGCTTGCCCTTGAACTTGCATCGTCTATAACATCTGCAGTTACACATTTTTTGTATTGATACTCTGTCCCTGATGAAAATGAATGATCAAATCACAAATGGTCGTTATTGCTCCGGCCCAGCAGAGGTTATGAAGCACTTCATTGATTAAATGTTTCACACGTTCAAATCTACGATGTTACCTTGGCTGAAGGGTGTCGAGGTACAATTTTCTATTAGTATTCAGAATATTTTCTAACATTTCCTCTTTTTACAGGTGATGGCTGTCGTGTGAATCTTTTTCCAAGCATTCATGCTGCTTTTGGTGGTGAATGGTGTTTGCGTATTGGCACAGAGAATTAATTGGAGGGTTAAAAGTGAAAAGGTCAGTTGCCAAATGTGGATTTTGTTTTATTATTTTATGATATTTTTTATTGTGAAGGCTAACAATCTTATTCTGTTGACAGGCAGTGACGTCCCACTTGAGTAATGGATTACGTAATCTGGAGCTGTTTAAAACTCAATTTGCTGACCTGGTCAGATGAAAGTCTTTGTGCTTTTCATGAAGTAGTACTTATCGTCATGGTCAATGCGACCTATGTCTTTGGGAATCTGAGGTTTGAGAATGAGTTTGAAAAGGCGGGGAAATTAATTTTATCAGTATTTATGGGGCACTTTTAATTTCATTCTTTGTTCTCTCTATCTTTTTCTTTCTTCTTCTGTGCCATGTGTTTGCAACTTGTCAACAATGTTCTTGATGATGTGTTAACTGTTTCAAGTGTCTGAATTGTTTTTGTTCTCTGAAAATGCATTATGTTTTCTTTCTGTCGATGAGTGCTCGTTCTGGTGTTTGTGGTTTGCCTGTTCCCAAGGTGCCCCCACAATGAGCGCGAGGCGATGCCGGGTAGGCGATGCCGTGCAGCCAGGCCGTGCTTGCAGGCCGTGCCGGCAGGTTTACCGACTTTTTTGCGCATACAGCTTTACTTAGAAGATCGGAGGCGTAGCTCCGCGCAACCGGAACGGCCTGCAAGCACGGCCTGGCTGCACGGCATCGCCTACCCGGCATCGCCTCGCGCTCATTGTGGGGGCACCTTCATTGCTATTCTGTTCTTGTTTGTTTAATGCTGGACTTGTCATGAAAGTGCTCTGAATTTCTGCCCTCTCTTTTGAAAGTGTTTGATTTTGTACTCTCTGCTCTTGCCACTGACTGAAATCTTGAAGTGCTTATTTGTTGTTGATGAACTTGTCTTGAAAATGCTCTGAAACTATCTGCCCTACCTCTTTTGTGTTTGATTTTGTACTATTTCTGCTCTTGCCACTGACTTCAATTGCTTATCTGTTGTTGATGAACATTTGATTTTTGTTGATTAACCGTGTGCCTTGCCCTTGCCGTTTATTGAGTGCTCGTATTTATGTGTTTCCGTTCTGACTGCTGCTTGTTTTCTGTCTTTGAAGTGTTCTGCTCGTTGTTTCCCTGAGGTAATTCTGAAAAAAATAATTGTTGTCATAGCTTAGATGGCTTCTTTTGCCTTGCATGAATGATATCACTGATTACCAGACATAATTTCCAATTTCTTCTGGAAGACAGTGAAGTCAAATTTCTTTACCTTGTCTATTGTTGGAATTAGCAGATTTTGGTGATGTTCGGTTTATGGGTGACTTTCTTTTCTGTTCTTTATCTGACTTCTCACTGCTATCCTCACTCCCTGAAGAGCTGGATTCTGAAACAGATTTGTTTTACTTTTCAGATTAATAGGGTAAGGGGCCCAGTAGTCGACAGTACACCAGTAGTCGACACTTTCAACTTTGCGATCGAATTCCCGCGAAGTAGTTAACGTTCGAGTCTCGGGCGTTTTGCCAGGCTAAGGCGCACTCTATTGAGATTACAATGAACCCATTGCCGAATCTGTGCCACCTCCGGGAGCCGGTAGGGAGCGCTTCACACAGAACACTGCTCGTCGCGTCACATCGAGCCATAATTTCTTAGCTCCGGAGTAGTGGGCAGGTGTTTGCTCGGAAGGTTCTGTGAGGCTGCCATTCACCCGAGTGGTTCCGGAGGACGTTTGTGTTGTTGTCAAAGACATGTATT